TCTGTCTCTCTCTCTGTCTCTGTCACACACACACATACACACACACTTGTTTCAAATTCTGTGTACTCTTAGTGGCGTATTAAAATTATTCTAGCATTGCTTCAAAAGTGTGTTTTTATTGCTTTGATATTCATTTCTTTCTCTTTTCAGGGCACCCAGTACACAGTATAATACACATTTGTTCTTTGCATCTTGAAACCTTAACTTTACAAATCTTATATCCCAGGGAAAGAATAATCATACTGTGATCAATATGCATACAGATGTTCAGTGTTTCTGATATAGTAACCTGTACAATACTGTACAACAGTACTGTACAACATCATATTAACTGATGGTAAAAAACAACACTACTAAGATTGGCATAATACCCTCACATAATTATCTTACGAAGATTTTGCAGACAGCACTCTCATGATGTGTTTATACACAGTGTATTGAAATGAATGCACACTGCTGCTAGCAACTGTGATATGAAATACATTATAGAAAAATACAGCACATAATCCAATTTGGAAATGAAAGAGTAGTTAGTCGAGGATATTTTACAACACGATTTTAGGAAAAATCCTAGCATATAACTACAGTCAATTTTGAAATTAGTCTTTGACAGCACCTACAAAATTAAAAGAAGATTTCTAAAGATGTTTAAAAATATGTCTGAGAAGCCTGGAGTTGAAAACAGTATTTGAAGTTTCATTCTCTTTCAAGACAAGACAGAAAACAATCTGTTTCAGAGAGATCAGACGCTGGCTTTTTTCTCAAAGACGGTGAAATGACTACTGTTGTTCAGCAAATTTCACATTTAGCAATCCTGTCAAGGAGTTCTCTCCATTTTTTAACTACAAAGTGTAACATGGGGATGCAGATTAAGTCAAATTTCTGAGGAATAATAACAACAGGTTTTCAGGATGGCAGAGAGCTCACTGCCTGAAGAAGGAAGTCATCAAATCCAGAGACAGTGAGCATTTCAGTGTGGGGAAAGAGTACAAAAGGAGCCTGTAAGTGTGTATTTGTGCTTCCATGTGCACACGTGAGCACTGTGAAGGGCAGGACCCATGGTACAAACAGGGAAGGAGCAAGAGCCGATTCCCGTAGCCCGCTCTGGTCTCTGCATGTAGCAGCGGAGTCTCCTCCATTCCTGAGTGCCAAGGGTGGAGCCTGCACCCAGGCTCTGGCACATCACACGATCAGTGAGAAGCAGCTGGGAAACAGGACACAAACAGTGGAGCCATTTTCATTAATACTGGCGACTGGAGGATGGGAGGAAGTTTGGCTTATAAATCAGTATGAGTATTGATGATAGTTGGGTCAATTTAAAGATTTTTTGTGAATAAAGAGAGGATGCTTCATTTTACATTGGATTAACAAACAAATATAAAGTGCAGACATGTAAGTATTAAATATTTAGTACATTTTGGTACTGGAGGAGAACAGGTGGTGATACAGAGGATTTGCTTTTGGAAACCGGGCCTGCCCTCTCCCCTCCACCCGAGAGCAGCACAGCGCAGGACAGGACCACAAGCAGCTTCTGTTCTGTTGTCTGTTTAGTTTCTTTTTCCAGACCTAATTATCAGCGATGTTGGATTAATGTAGCTGAGGAAAGGAGCGTTTTCCTACCTAGACTCATTTTCTGCTGTGGGAGGCCAGCAAGCAATTTTCTCTGATGTCAGTGTCTTAGACAGGCACAACAAAGTCCCTACGCCGAGCCCTGTGCACCTCTTTCTTCCGTGGATGCAGTGACTGTGGAGCCATGGTGTTACCCCTTCGTTATCTCAGGGCAGGGCACACACTCTGGCCTGGGCATCTGCACACACAGTGTCCTACCAGCCAGATAGCTGCACCTGAGCACACTGCAGCACTCCGCAAGGCTCCACAAAGTGAGGAGAGTCCCCCTCACAGCTCTGAGGAGCAAC